CGTTTGGGAAGTTAGCAATTGGGTTGATTCCAAATTTTTCAGGCCGTTTCACCGAATTTTTTGCTTGACCGAGAAGGCGTTCTCAGCGTCGATAAGAAAATCCGTATCGCGGAAAAAACCCAAAAAAATTGCCTCCTGCTCCACTACACCACACTTCTTCTTGATCCTCATCATCATCGTTCCTACAATCATCATGCGCGCCTCTACTTATACCTAGACATTCTTCAAACTTCAAGCACATGGCAGTCGCATATTATGTGACTATCTTTTGATCCCGTGTTCTGCCTTGCCGCCAATGCACTTCCTGACAAGCTTCCCGGCTTCTTTACGTGGGGGCGAGGGCGAGACACACTTATCCGACTCCTCCTCAATATTCCTCATGATGAAGACTGGGCCATGGAGATTCCAGGATGTCGCCTGTTTTCCACGTCGGCTTCCTCCTAGCTCTCACGGTCTGACTACCTTCTTACCACCTTCCTTCCTTCCTTTCACGCATATCTGCTTCTTACGGGACTAAAAGCCGCAAGCTGTATACTGGATACCGCCCTTATTGGTGGAATAGGGCCGAGGCTAAGATAGATAATAGGACAGGGTGTGAGTCGTTCCACACGGGTGTTCTAGAAGATATGCGACAAGCAAGCTAGATGCCGCTGCATACCAAGGTAATCGGACCCTTGTACGCCTTGCAGTCTAGGAGGGTGTCCATAGCAGATTCCCACTGCAGATCTTAACGTCTAGTACCTAAGAGGTAAAGTAAGCGAAATGCGCGTTATCAGCAGCTAAGGAGCTATTGGATCAATTGTGGGAGGCAAGGGGCTGCAAGCTAAGACGGGGATGGGCGGCCGAGTGGGGTAGCTGGAACCGATGCTAAGACCTTTTAGCTGCTTTTACTCTTATCTTTACCTCCATTCGCTCATCCTCGCCCACACACGAGGTAGACCTCTGGACCGCGCTCGACCAACATCTCATCCCACCCCCTCCCCCCCAAGCTCCAAGGCTAACCTTCACTCTAGGGTCCGCATCTCTTTCTCGCCTCTCTTACATAACAGCCTCTCCTCCCCACTCTCCTCCTCCTCTTCCTGTCGTGTGCTACATCCCTTCTCTCCACCCTTCCCACCTCCCCCCTCCTTCCTGGACGTCGCAACGTCTTCTGCGCTCAGTCATGGATACGAAAGAGAAGGTTCCTCTCGATGATGTCGCCTACGATAGCAATGGCAGTCGCGATGCTGACTTCGAGGCCGAGCCACCTGCGGATGGAGGTCTCCATCGCAACTTGAAGGGTCGTCACATGCAGATGATAGCTATCGGTATACACTCCCAAAACGAAGCCTCCGAATATACAAGACCTCTTCTAATTCAGTCGGAAAATAGGCGGTTCGATTGGTGCTGGTCTCTTCGTGGGGTCCGGTCAATCCTTTAACAATGGTGGCCCTGGCAGTGTGGTACGTGACAGCAACAAGCAACAGCATCACAATACTTGCACTGCTGACGGCATTTTCTAGCTCCTTGGTTTCATTATTGTCGGCGCCATGTTGCTTTTTACCGTGCAAGCTCTGGGAGAGCTTGCCGTCCTCTACCCCGTCAACGGCGCTTTCTTCACCTACGGTTGCCGATTCATCGACGAAGCTTGGTACGAATCCACAATACTTTGAACCTGTAAAAATGGGATAATAACATACATTGGCAGGGGCTTCGCAATGGGCTGGGATTATGCTCTAGGATGGCTTACCGTTCTACCCTTCGAAATCACTGCTGCTGGTATCACAATTTCGTTCTGGAAGGAGATAAACATTGGTGTCTGGATCGCGGTTTTCCTCTTCCTCCTTTGCGTGGTTCAATTCTTCGGTGTGCGAGGATACGGTGAAGGTTAGTCTTCCAGGCCCCACAAAGTGGTGCTCTCTCGGTGGCTAAACCCCGCGCTCAATAGTCGAATTCGTGCTCGGCCTTATCAAAGTCGTAGCCGTCATCGGTTTTATCATTTTCGCTGTCGTTGTTGATTGCGGAGGGGTCCACACCAAAGTCAACCGCGGATACCTCGGTGCTCACTACTGGCACGATCCGGGAGCGTTCAAAAACGGCTTTAGAGGATTCTGCTCCGTCTTCGTCAACGCTGCCTTTGCTTTCGGTGGTACCGAGCTTGTCGGTCTTGCTGCCGCGGAGGCCGCCGACCCGCGGAAGTCGCTCCCAACCGCTACCAAGCAAGTGTTCTGGCGCATCTCAGGTTTCTACGTCATCTCGCTGTTCATGGTCGGCTTGATCTTGCCCTCCAACGACCCAGACCTCCTCGGTTCATCCGGTGCAAACACCAAGGCGTCCCCCTTTGTGCTTGCCATCCAAATGGCCGGTGTCAGCGGTCTTCCCTCCGTCTTCAACGCCGTCATCACCATATCCGTCCTCAGTGTCGCAAACTCCTGTACCTTCGGCTCCACGCGTACCATGCAAGCGCTCGCAGCGAGGGACATGGGCCCCAAATTCCTAATGTACATTGACAACAAAGGTCGCCCTGTCTGGTGTATCGTTATCCAACTCCTCTTTGGTCTTCTCGCCTTCGTTAACGAAGCCAGCGCCGGCTCTACCTTCTTCTCCTGGCTCCTTGCTCTCTCCGGTCTTTCTTACTTCTTCGTCTGGGGCAGTATCTGTCTTTCCCATATCCGCTTCCGCCGCGGCTGGATGGTACAGGGACACACTTTAGACGAACTGCCATTCCAGGCTCAATTCGGTGTTATTGGCAGTTACATTGGTTTCTTCTTGAACGTCATTGCCCTCATCGCCACCTTCTACACAGCTCTATTCGTAAGCCACCCTTTTCATACCCGAGTTGTCGCGGATGATTATGCTGATTTTGAGCACAGCCGCCCGGCGCTTCTCCCACCGCCACCGCTTTCTTCCAAGAATATCTCGCCGCGCCGATCGTCATCGCGCTCTACATTTTCTGGAAGATCTGGTCTAGGAACAAGGGCGGATTCTTCGTCCGGGCACACCAGATGGATCTATTGACGGGTATGCGGACGTTCGATTTGGACCCGATGGAGGATGCGGCCGCTGGGCGGAGGAAGAGTGTCTTTGTACGAGCGGCGAGGAATGTTGTTTAATTTGCTGTCTGTGTATTTGAGCAACGGTGGCGAGCTTTGGTTCTGAATGGCAAATTGGTTGCAAATGTAGAGGGTATATATGTCGTGTCTTGAGCATATGCATCATGTGAGAACCAAATTGAGCCTTACCCTTCACCTCTCCCTTTCTCGATCATTATTCTGGGATCCACGTGTCAAGTAAAGTACTTTACGTAATCCGTAGAACAAGTATCTAATCGCGGCATCCCAAGGTAATCCACCTTACCTTACTCTAATCGTTGGAACTTACCTAGGCTGTTGCATCGCATTTCAAAGCTACCTTAGCGTGAAACCAACCAAACTTTTCGACCGCCCGTCACGAAAGAGATAAGGCCGTGCCGCCAAGTGTTTGAAAGCCCGCGGCTCGCGCTAAGGTGAGGTGAGATGTGCTGTCTCGATTGGGCTTTTCTTTGGGACTTTTGGTATCTATCTTGTTTCTATCTGTGTGTGTGTGTGTGTGTATGTGTTATCTTCGATGAAGATGGCATTTGAGAGCCTGATCGGGACGGGTTTGTAGGTGGTGGTTATGGGATGGGATGGGGATGGGGATCTGATATATAAGTATCTAGGTTGATAGAGGGAGGAGCTGGGCGGTTGGTTGGTGGGGAAGGGTCGAGGTGGGTAGGCTGCGCGGCTTGATTTGGTGGAGGGGGAGGGCAGGGCAGGGCAGGGGAGGGAAGTAGTCTTGACGACCGCTCTCTCTCTCTCTTCGAAGAGTTGTATGAATTGTTGGCGGTTGGTATGTTTTGTTTTATGTATGTCCCTACGTTAACACATCCATCGCGCCCAAGGGCGTCGTTTGATCGGCACTTTGCTTGCTCGATAGGCCAATGTTTCGAAGGGCAACGCTCGGAGAGATTGTCATTCGAGGGGGTGGGTGGAGAGTGCTGAGGGAGTGTTGTGGTGATTCATAAATATGTACCTGCATCCATCCATACCTAGCTAGCTAGCTAGCCACGCGTTTGGTAGGTTGTGATATGTAGCAAAGTGGTTACGCGGCGTGCTCACGGCTATGTGGGGGGGAAGGGGGTTGTCTACCTAGTGGAATGGAGGGATTGTTTAACACAGTCAGCATCGGGGTTGGAAAGCAAGCGGATTCTTCGGGTCGATTCTTGGGGTGGTTGGTGAGGGGTACTTTGCCTACTTGTGACGGGGTCCATTTGTTGCGTTTGGTGAGGTTGTTAGGTAGGTATGTATGTAGGTATGTAGGTTGATTGGCCGGCAGAGCATGTGCTCTTTAATTGGGGAATATCCCATCCGGTAGTGTACGGCTGCGAAGTATACGTCTGTCTTTCCGATCAGATCGATCATAAGACCAAGAAAGATGTGCTTACCTGCCCTGGAGTCTACAGGAGACATCCGAGCGAATAGGAAAATCGCGCATCTCAATCCGGCGAGGGTCTTACACGTAGCTTGGCTCAGCACTAGATTATCACACGACCAATGTTGCCCACTGGGAAGTGGGAATCGGTCTGAGTCTTTCTACACCTACTGTTATTGTTACGACTACTCCTCAGCACGACTTCTCGGAGGTTACATCAAAACAAGGCGCTTGCATTAAGCGCTCGCACAACATGGATGACCGGGCGAGGATTTTGACGGGTCGTTTGCAACCTTCAGAGGTTTGCCGAGTCCGAAGGTGCCGCCTCTTCGGCTTTGTATCTGCTTATTGGTTGCTGGTGTTCGTTGTTGCGGTCTTTGCTTTCACCTGTTGTCATGCACAGGGAATTGTTGCTTTCGTAACTCCCACCGACTTCATGATGAAAGCGTCAGCTTTTTCTCCCTTGTCCCTCCCAGCAGTGGCAACCCTCGTCTCCGCGACCATCGTCATTGCTAACTTCAGTTGCCCGCTCCATCCCCTTTCCCTTTTTCAAGCCTCACAACCCGTGCTCACTCTAGTTCGACAGCCTTACCACTTTCCCCCTTGACAGTCCCACCGGTGTCGGCGTCTACGAAGGCCTTTTCTACGATGCCTTCTGTTTCAGCAGCACTGCCACTCTCCTCGCCGGCGAGATCGAGCCCCACACTCCGCCAATCGCCATCCTGACCACCGACGACCAATGACACTCCGACGATCACGCTCATCTACCCTAGGTCAACATCAGCTGCAGTCACGTTGTATAGTCTCTAGTTAGGATGCGCGGTGCATACGGACGAGGTGGTCGCGGGAGTGGCGATGCAGTGCACGATCAGCGTTGCAGGATTCAAAGGGGAGAGGTTGCGGTTGCGAGCTTTAATTTCACTCCTCCAACTGTGTTGGTGGAGACTGTGCCGATGATCGAAGCGGTTGTCCCGTCCGCGTTAGGGGGGGGTTTCCAAAATGTCACGCTTGTGCAAGGAGATCCGGAGCCGCAGCCTTTGACAGTTGATAGTGTTACGTTTGCGTTGGAGAAGAAGTGAGCGGGGAACTTAGAATCTGCTCTCTGTTCGAGTAATATTGAAGGGAGAGATGAAAGTTTTCAGCAACCGGTTGACCGTCCGCTTTCTTCTTACCAGCGGCGTCAACGTGAGCGCATCAGCATACCCAAGTTCGAAACTGTCTTTATATCAGGCTGCGAGACTCGGAGCAGCGATTCATCTGAAGTCAGTTACTGTACAACGGTGCTTTCGTCGTTTGCTCTCGATCCATTCTACCCGGGCAGTGCGTCGCGGCTTGCGGCGGAGAGTGAGGGAAAGCTGAGGCGGGCGGTGGGAACGCTGTGGCAGCTTAACTAGGGGTAATGTCAACGTGTGTAAACTGGTCGGGCGGGTATGGATCAGGCGGTGTGCCAGGAAAAGTAGCAGCTGCGGTGGTAGGAACGCCTTGAATTTTTGCCAGGATGAGCACAAAGTACGAAGTTTGTGGTCCACACAACGGTTTGTTTCTGGACATCGATTGCGAAAATTTCTTGGGCTGTTGCCTATGAGTGCACTCATCTTAGAAGACGCCGGTAGCTAAGGTTGCCAGTTTTCATGCCAGCTTGCCTGGGGTGCGTGCTTTGGCCGAGGCGCGTGTGGCAGTGTGAGGGCGGTGGAGCTTTCATTCAAGGCAAAGTTCAGTGCGGTAGCAATGTATCATGGGATTGTGTCGAAGGCGGCGAGAGAGAGGCCAGCAAAGGTCATTCATAAAGCGAGTGAACACAAGTAACGTTGATCTTCATGACCGCGGTTGTTTGAGGCTTACGGATAGATGATGCGTATAGAGTCAGATGTACTTGGGTGTGTAACGGGCAGGATAAGCAGAGAAAAGACGCCCGGAGACTTGAAAGAGTTTATACCATGTCCTCGTGCACTGAAGAACATCAAAAACCCCTAGTCTTCGTCGCAACAAAGGCTCAGCTCTTTCAAGAAGGGAGCGAGGGTGACTGACCCAAGAGAGAGGTGTCGACTCCAACTGAACACTGGTAGTGTGAGGGTGAATGGTCCCGAAGGCAACATGGGGTCACAATAGTAACATAGGCATACAACAGTGTGATCTAGAAGGATGGTGGCCCATGCAAACCATCCTCGTCATCGATCGTCCTTTTTCGAACCATCCTACCATGGTGTAGAACCGTCCATTCGCCCATTGTTCTGCACAAAATCCCATACTTGATCGATCATCTCAGTAGATGGGACCCCTGGTCCAGGCCTAAAAGATCTCCGAGGCCAAGTATCCCAGACGTTTTTGAATCCGCCAAACCCACCAAAACAGGCCCGGAACTCGTAATGAACCATGAAAATTGAAGTTGAGCGCTTGCGGCATACGGACCCTTCGGCTTCGAAAACTCTGGTCGGGACGAGAAGACATGGTGGGAAGGGGAAGATCTTAATAATAATAAAAAATGAGGCATCCTTCGTGGCCAAAGCGAACTGGCGCAATCGCGTGATCTGTGTGGGATGGCACTTGTGTCTCAAGAGAGTTTGGTTCAATGACAACTGCCGCTTTTTCATACGTACCTATATGGTAATTACGGGCACTTGGTACAGGCGGAATGTGGACAAAAGGTGATTGTCTGAACTGAAACCTCTCAATCTCATGTTGGTCTAGGGTATCGAGGTGGTATCGTTTGTTGATGGTGCTTGAAACTGCTTGGTAAGATCGCGTTAGATAGGTTAGATACGCCACTCGATGCTGTTTTTGATCGAGGTTTTGAGAATTCCTGACTCGTTTTGGGCCGCCGCGGTTTACTGTCGCCTTGCTTGACACAATCACTTCTTCCCACAGGCCTTTCCAAAAGCACGAGGTATCAAGCTATGTGAATGATCTATATGTACATGTATTTCCACTACCCAGGGTTTCGTAGGACATGAGCGTGTCCTCTTGGGTGAGAGGGAACAGCCATGAATCACGAGTTTCTCAAAAGCTCTTGGAAATCTATTTCCCTCTCGGTCTTGTAGTCGTCCCCATCCTGCATCCTCTCATCCTTGTAGGCGTTCCCATCTTGCATCCTCGCCTCATGCGCCATGCCCTGTGTCTGATATCCTGTCGGCTCATCCCCCTTCCTCACATGCCTCTCCGTCGCCATCGCCATAGGCAGGTGCTGATGCTGCGACCCATCCATGTCCAAATCAACATATCGGTTCTCGACTCTATGCGCACCCGTATAGTCCTCGCCACCGTAATGGCCGGCTCCGTGCTGTTGCTGGATTATCCGCGGATCAATTTGCGGGTCGACAGGGATGCCGTTGAAGTCCTGCAGCCTGCGCATCATCGCTGTCGGTGCGTGATGGTCCATCTCTGGACTTCTTGAGATGGAGAGATCTTTCTGATCCAGCCTGGGATGCGGGTCCATTTGGTCGAAGTTGACGAGCCGTTCGATCATGCTGTTGGGGTCGTTCGGTCCATTCTGTCCATTCGCAAAGGCAGCTTTCCTGAACTGGCCAGGCCCCTCGCCCATTGGCCGTACGGTAGGGGCCTTGGCAGCTGTATCTTTGCAGTCTGGACAGTTCTTGATGACGAGACTGACAGTCTCCTTGATCCTGACCCAATGGAATCTCTCCGCAATCGTAGCCGTGGTTTTATTGATACCGCCGTGCTGCTGTACATGCACTTGCTTCGAGATTTGATATTGCCGCTGCGGATCACTCACCACCTCTTTATCCTTAAGCATTAGCTTCTCTTCACCTCCCCCGTTTTCTTCCCCACCAACGAGCTTGTAGTGCGTCGCTGCACTCCTCAATCTGGACTTCTCCGCCCGGTCAGCACCACTTGGATAGGTTCCGTGTTTGAGATAGTAGCGGATTTTGTCAAAGCGTTCTTCGCTGACAATGTCTTCTGCGTCAGAACCTAGACTACGGCCATAGACTATGGCTTCGACTAATTCATTAGGAGATGAGCGGAGGTTTCCGCAGGAGGGGATCCGGCCGATGCGTTTGAAGCCGAGGGCATCCCAGATTCGGCATGATGCCACGTTGGTTTCGTAGACGAGGTTGAAGACTGAGTAGGTATAGCCCTGGTAGTTTGTATTAGATAAGCCTTTTGTCTCAGACTTAATCTATCCGAGAGAGAATTTTTAAAGAGAAAAGAGAGAGAAAGGTTGATTTAGGATCAGTGGGGAGATTGTGAAAAGGCTGTCGAGAGCATTTGCAGAGGGAAGGAGAGGACATACCAATTTGGGAGCCCACTCTAGATACCCTTCTCCCATCAACCTTCCGACTCCTTTATTTCTCGCTGCCTCTGTCACTAGAAAGCCTCCGTTGCAAATATGACTACTCCTTCCGGGATAGTTTGGCTTGACGTAAAAGCTTCCCAGACAGGTTTTTTCCCACCCCTCCCCTCCATCTTCCATTTCCCAGACTTGCTCTACACTTTCCACCTCCCCTAGCAACATGATTGCGCCAAAATTTTGGAACCAGTAAGTTCCGAATGTCGAAACAGACATCGAGGTCATCATGGGGTAAGTGTCTCCTTTTTCAATTTCGAGATTTAGTTGGGAGCAGAGGTACGAGAGGAGGCGAGGGGGAACGGCAGTGGGGGTGGAGAAGGGGAGCAGGGAGGCGATAGTTATGCGGTCGCGGAGAGTAACCTTGCGAGGAACTATGGAGTGCGGTATTTGCGGATCATCGGGCGTAGGATAGGGAGGATTGCCAGAGACACGGTAGATGGCCGGAGCCGTGGGGTCTTCCAACATCGCCGGCATGGCTGCAAGTGTAAATAATGTTCTTAGGGTTAGGGTTCCGAAGCGATCTGGTATGATTAGTCAGCATGGTGGAAGTCGAGGGAATTGCGGAGAACGGTGAATGCTAGATAACAGAGAAAAAAGATCTTTTTGCAAAAAGATTGCAATCAGGATTGGAAAGGAAAGACGCAACTCACTGTTGTCTTCTCGATGCGCTTAGGGTTACCCTGCGATGTCTGCAGACTGATTGCTTCGCAGAGCCGGTGCTTTCAGTCACGATGATCTTTCGGATTTCGGGTGTTGTCGATGATGAGAAGAACGGAGGAAGTTCTCAGTCCTGCGCGAGAAGATTGTGTTCCCTAGCTTTTGCGCTAGCAGCGATTAATCTTAGCTTATCTTTGGGAGGGGTACTTCATGCCGCACTGAGCTTGCGATATGATTGGCCTCCGAAGCGAGGAACGAGTGGCCCATAGGATACCCCGCTAAGCGTGTCTAAATGCTGAGAGCCTGAGAACGGTGAGATGAGTGAGACCTAAGGTATCTTTATCTCCGGATGGCGTGACGTGTATTAATAATGCAATTCGAAAATGAAGCTGCCCTACTTGTACAGAGCTCGCAGCTCGCAGCTCGCAACTCTCAACTTCCATCACCTTGACAGTCAAGCTGTTTGACTGACCATATACCCTTTAGCTAGACCTACAATACGGCAACATGTCTGCAAATGTTCATCATGTCTCCAATGGGACAGACTCCAGCAATGACATCGCTCCCAAAAGTAATGCTCCCAACCTGAAAAAGTACCCTACAAACTGACTCCTTCCCTTAGTAATTCTATATACCAATCACGGCTGCCCATGGGCCCACCGCGCCCACATCACCCTCCGCGCCCTCAGAATCCCATACGAAGAAGTCATCATCCCTCTTGACCGTCCTCGCGAGCCTTGGTACCTCGAGATAAACCCGCGGGGACTCGTCCCAAGCATGAGAATCTCCAATGGCATCCTGCAGGATGAGATCGTCACCGAATCCGCTATCGTCAGCACCTTCCTCGCGGATATGTTCCCCAACTCAAGCTTCTGGCCTGCGAGTAGGGAAAGTCCAACGAGTGCGTTGACGAGGGCAAGGATAGCATTCTTCGCCGATACATGGGTGGGGAAGATCAATACGCATACGGTTCCGGTCATGATGGCGGATGGGGAGGAGAAGGAGAAGCTGGGCGGGAAACTGGTCGAGGCTGTGAAGAAAGAGATTGAGCCGATGTTGGAGGGTGCTGGACCTTTCTTTGGAGGTAGTGAAAGCATTACGCTCGCGGAGGTACGTGACTGGTGTTACCGTTGAAGCATTCGAGGATGAGAGTCGTAGACGGCTAATTGGACATGCAGGCCTTGATAGCACCATTCGTGATCCGATGCCAGACGTATGGCGAAACAGGTTTGATTCCAAAGAGCGTGCTGAAGGGATTTGATGCATTGCCCAATTACAGCAGATGGAGCAAGGCTGTCCGTGCAGAGGACAGCGTCACTTACGTCTTTGACGGACCGGCTATTGCGGAAAAAAGTGCGGAGAGGATCGAGGAGAGAAAGGCTAAAGCGAAGTAAGGTTATGCTGGAAAACCAGGGTAAGACATAGCGATGGGTTTTCTATAGACCTGGTTTCACCAAAAATCAAAATACTGAGGCTGCCCCACGACGGAGTCCAAACACATTCTTTTGAGGATTGGGCTGAAGGAACCTACATGAACATATCTCTACAGTTCTATACTTAGCTTCGTCTGCGCCACTGCAGGAAAGTGTCAAACAGAGCGGCAGCCTAAGGCGCTGAATCCTATCATTCTCACGTCTCGATTATGGGCATCAACCCGCAATCAACTTTCATTCATGATTGAAACTGACCCAGGGAAAGCATCAGAAATTCAGAAAGTTCCCCCTTGAAGCCCGTCGTGGCGATTTTTAGTTATCGATACCCCGTCGACTGCCAACTCTGCTCCCTCGCCTGACAGCTCTCTGACCGAAAGCCTGGACCAGTCGACTTGAAAACTGCCAATTTAAGGGTGTTGACCGGAACTTCGAAGTCTTCCTGTTAGACGAGCAGCGATCTACCCGCCCATCACATGACGGAACACTGGACTGAACGGAGAACGGTGGAATATCTTCAACACGTCTGTAGAAGCCGTATTAGGACTAGCGTCAGACTCGTGCATCTAAGTACTCGGGACGTAGCAGTCACAACTCCAGCAACCCTGCAACGATCCATCCCCTACAGCACGAGACTAAGCCGTCTTTGCTACACCTTGGATTTCGGCCTTGGGATTTTGGCTCTCTTGCTCAATAGGATTGTCTGGAGCCCAGGCCGACGTTGTACTTTTTTGTCCCAAAGTTGGAAGCGGGAAAGAGAAACCGAGGACCCATGACACAATGAACCTGTCTTACGTCACAAGGTCGATCTCCTCGTTCTGATGTCTTTCGCCACCTTTCTGGCTTCTCAACAGTCTTAACACACCCTCAACGCTTGAACGCTAGATTTGGGATGGCTCCGGCTGCATCGTGCAGTCTCAACGCCAACGAACGGCGTGCGGAAGGAGGGTGCAAAGTTTTCGAATTCCACGGTGCAATCGATAGACAGGTTGACAGAGTTGATAAGAGTTTGCGGTCTGAGGTGTTGCATTTGTATCTTCTGCCGTCGATCTTGGGTTTCATCCCTAAACAAGATGTTTACACGAATAGATGTTTGTGCAATTTGAGTTTTAGATAGCGAAAAACTCTCTCTGTCGATATGGACTTGTTGATTCATTAATGCGTTGATACCGCTTCGGGTGTCCTTTTTGTTCTAAGAAACGCAAAAAAAAAACTCGCCCACGCCCTTAGCAACGATCCAAAGGCTGGGACCCAGGAATACGCTGAAGAGTGTAGAGATCTATCTTGCATTCTTACCTGCTCAACGTGTTGAAGATCATGGTCGATTGTCCAGAGTGGAATCAATGCCCTGCTGAAGATCCTGCTTCCGTTCTTGGCTGCCTTTTTTCCTTCACAAGACCTAGCGGTCTGCCAAGTTGAACGGTAGCCCGTTTGGACTGTCGTCTAGGCGACAGGACCATGGCTCTTACACCAGGACTTTTGATTGCCTTGGTTGATAGTAGAGTCGTTTGGCTGCCGCTTCGCAGCGAAAGACACTTTACCCTAAAAGTACTCATGGCAGAGCACTATGCATTCCATACGGTAATCACAACCGAACGCATTCGACAACGCAGCCTCTTGGAAATCTATTGGTGCGATGCCAATAAGAATCAGCGCATCCGAGTTGATAAGAGCGAGCCCAGCAGAGTCGCAGACCAGTCAAATTTGGTTGGCATTTCTACCGGATTGCCTCGACGGGCGAATATCGTGCTCGAGCGCCGAAGTCGGTGAAAAGCTGTGGTAACTGGGGTATTTGGCCCCTGGAAGGATCGGCGGCTCATACGCGTCAGGGGCGTCATGATACAGTAGGTTTGGCCGACGGGGTTTTAGGGCTGTCGCCAGCTTCGGATCCAACGCAACGGCCGTCGGGATCATTGGTTCTCTATTGAGAGGGGAAATTGGGAGGGGATGTCTAAGTGCTCGCTGACTTTGTAAGAAATGCTTGGAGATCTGCGCGGTTGTAATCCTCCTTTTGAACCTTGAATGGCTCTTGCGGCCCAAGGGGGGTTCATACTATCAGTGAAATTCATGGATTTCATCGTGACTCTTTACCCGTTGGATAGACTGAATCTGGTCTACCAGGGCAAGGCTTTCCATCGTTGTGACTGAGTTCTTCTAGCTTCTCAAGTTCTCCGAAAATGAGGCTCGTGCTCCTCACGCTTGTGCATTTCCCTTCGGCATGTGCTGATGTGCAGGGTCAGAGCGTTCGTGGACTTGTCCAGAAAGCATCATTGACGCACCCTCGCCAGTCCTCAATCCTCCCTCATCACTTGTCTTTCTTCAATTCATATTCTTCCCATGCGTATCCACTTGTCTTTCTTCAATTCATATCCTTCCCATGCGTATCCTTGACCCCCAAGCTCCAAACCCTTCGATGGCATCCTATGCGTCTCGACTTTCGTCGCTTACCGTTTGAAACGAAACTCCATATCGAGCTCGCCGGCAAGATACAACGTCGAGTCCCACTATAGGCTCCCCTGCTTATAACGATGAGTCCCTTGCGTGGAAGTTCGTGACTACCGATCTCGTCACTGTCATTGTCCCTTTTCGTCCCGTCAGTGGCCGCATGTACACGAAATGCTTCATCACAAGAGCTCGCGGGTGGGAGGACTGCAGGGTTCTGTTATCTCACGTTTACGTTCTTTTGGGGCTAATTGTGTGCATGGAATAGGCAGCTCAGTTCTGGCATTGCTTATTTGCAGTCGCCCGTGTGGTAGGGGATTCCCTCGGTGGGGACTAGTTTTCTACTCAGCATCTGACGGGGCTCCTCCATCGCTAAGTTGGAAGAAGGCATATATCGATATGATCTCGGGGAGGCATATTGGCATAGTCCCTGAGTCGTATTTGAATCCTTTAGTGATCGTTCGTACTCCCTACCAAGCCAATCCCGAGGCGGTAGAGGAAGATGAGGATGGCGAATTTGGCCAGGGTAATCGAGACGACGTATAGTAAGCCATCGACTGCTACAAGCTGTTGACAGAATCTTTCCCCGAGATTCCACTGCACGTCTTGGGCGGTTGGCGCCATTATGGCTGTTTGGTCAATGAGCACTGTTCTCTTGGTCTGCTTCTCTTGCAAGCCGGTAGCCGCTTCGTTCAACTACAAGCTGCGTTATGCACGTACCACGGTGCGCAAGCCGGAGTCGTATGATGTGGAAAACATCTTTGGTTTTTACAACATCATGCTCCTGCTTATGCCGATGCCGTTGATTTGGACGCTGCATATGGCCAGAGCAAAGAAGATTGGCGTTTCGATCGTCTTTGCCAACGGTGGTGTGTGAGTGGTAAGCCGCTCCATCTTCGGTCGTTCAGTCCGCTGATCAAAGGCAGCATTGCTGCTATCGCCATCGTAAGACAGTACATACTCTACACCTCGACTGACGCCGCAGGCCCTAGCTGGGATATCGTACAGATCAAAGACTGGATGTAAGCCTGCTTTACTAATTTCCCACTTCCATTCCCCCTACAAGGCCCAAAACTCAATCACCACAACAGAACAATCGAAGTCAACCTCGCAATCATCTGCGGCTGCCTCCCCGGCCTGCAACCCCTTTTCCGTAAAAACCCCCTCCTCATCCCTTTCCTTCCCTTCCACCTCCGCTCCAAATTCAGTGGCGGCCACAGCGCTATGGAGCACTCTTCATGGCCAAAGAGGCTCAGTGGGCCTCGGCATGCTGGCGGCCAGAAATTGGAAAAGGGCCAAAACAGGCAGCAGGCGCCGTGGAGAATGCCGGATGAGAGGTCCGAATCGGGTTCGAGCGTCCAGTCTATGTACCATCAGCAGCAGCAGCAGTACCCATTGTTGCAATCCGCGCTAGAGCCAGTTGCGATTCGAAAGGAAAGCCCGAGATATGAGGGCAACTTGCAGGGGGCTGCGCTGTGAGGTACGATTGCAGGGACTGGACAGATTTAGCTTTGAGATATGTACTTAGTCCGGGAGAGAGGGGTTAGCAAGGACGTTGTCAGGGATTGGTTCCATTGAGTGTGGGGTACGGTTTGATACAGTAGAGGAAAACAGTTACATATGTTTTTAGTGTATCTCAAGCCTCGGCATCATCTCCCACCCAATCTCCAGTCTACCGCTTCGACCAAAACTCACTGAACTATTTCACACACGCGTTCGGCAATGCCTTTGGCTTCAACCCAGAGCAAGTCTGTCGAAGCGGTCCTCTCTGGGGGTATTGAATCATCCTACACAAGTTGAAAGGAAGTGAGACATTTTGTCGACATCTTACTAAGTACCCTTATTTAGCAATTGACTTCTCATATACACAATCTCCAAGGCAGATGTCAACAAGCCAGGCTTTTTTGTTCAGCTCTTGGCTCGATTTGAGTTTGCTTTTAGTGATTGGAGTAGGCGTAGATATTGTTCTGTCTCTCCCCGTTTGCAATGATGGCTCCAGGAAGAAGATGAACGAAGCGACATTGAAGATAGTGTTTGATGGAGGACCGCATTGTGGACATACACGATCCCCTATTGTTGGAAGGCCGACATGGTTTCTTCGCTGAAATCGGGAGTCCATGTCTGTCGTTCACCGATGCAGATGTCTATTGTAATCGCGCACACATCGGTCATCTCTTAGAAACCTATCTCGCCTGGCTGGTCTTTCGTGAGGACGTCTATCAGAGGATTCTTGAATACCAGACACTCCCTCCAGGATGAAGTGCTTTCCAAATGGAGGTGGATAGAAGACGGAGACGCTGATCCCAGTCTGTAAATGGCAGCCAAAATGCAGCCTCTACAGGCCTGAAGAGAATCGATGTATCTTTTACACCCATCTCGTCTAAATTTAAATCCTGATGGGCAGCCAAAAGATCTGACGAGTCTCCCACTCTTTCACCATGATCGAAGGCCTTAATATGGCCCAAGCCAGACTTTACCTATGCGGGGCCAGCAATTGAATATGGCGCAAAGTCTTTCTCTTGTAGCTTTGGACTTCTGTGCCTGGCAAGCTGTCGACAGGCGTCCACGTCGGAATCCTGATGTATTCAGACCACTCGTTAGTTTGGTGGTTCGATCCTTCAATAGGTTCGAGGCCCAGCAGCAAAAGTGCCCTCCTTGCTCGCTTGCGCAAAGCCGGTAAACAGTATACTGGATACCTAGTCAAGCCAGCTTTGGCCAACTGCTGGTCTTCGGACCCCAACCTTGCCAGTTTTGTTTTATTTGCACTAGAACGCTTTGCCAGTATTGAATGAAGCTGTCAGCCATTGACCTAGCCATTGTACCTTTCTTCAAAGGATCAGCAGCTAATGTGTAAGAGTCCAGCACGTTCGTCGCTCTAACATTCACCGGCTATCCGGTGAGACCCGAAGAATCGAGACTTTTCGTAACAAAGAAATCCTGCACATCGCGATGTAGGAGTATTTCATACCTGTTTTCACTTTCGTATAGATGATTAAGGGCTCTTGCACTTTGATAGTCTCCACTGATAGGCACTGGCATGGAAGTGGATCTAAGGACGCAGACAGAAAGCCTGAGCACACGACGAGCATAAGACATTATCCAACCTGAGAAGCCCGAGCACTCGACGAGCATGAGAATCTACCCAACCTGAGCCTCTCAGCCCATGATAGGCGAGTGTTAATCCTGGGTCTTCCTGCACCGAGTTAGTCATGTCCCTACCAACATAGCCCTCGACAGATTTTCCATCTTTGGAAGACAAAAAAATATAAAAAATCTCGACCTCACCTGGGCAACTATATGGGTCGTATTGTGGCAACAGATCATTTCTTATCTCAGCTACTTCTCTGCCAGGGGCATATCCGGCGCTGGGCCCAAAGGCACAAGATTGTTCCGCGGTGTCAAAGCATAGCCTTTCTTAATCTGTCACCCTCACATTAGTCCTCTCCTGCTTTGAGAGCTCTTAAAGAGACAACTTACGTGTTCAACATCCGTCGTGTCCCCGAATCCCTTCTGCCCGTACAGATTGACTAGCGACCTTTGGATCTTCGGATAATCATGCCTTATTATCTTCAGGTTACACTTGAACAGCGTATAGTGGGCTGTATCAAACCTCACAATCGTAGGATAAAGCCGCACATCTGCCTCCGTAATGTGCTCACCAAACAAATACTCTCCCTTGCTGTTAGCTAGAATATCCCCAACCTGATCCAATGCCTCGAAGACTTCGATACACGCTTTCTCATGATTCCCCTGCTCAGTCGCAAATCCGGTTTTGTAAACGCCCGTATTCAGCACAGAGTTCACCCACCCGTCCATCCCATCAATCTTCCCTCGCAAACCCTTTGAATAAAGCCCACCAACGACCCTGCCCTAGTTCCCCTCACTCATCTCCAACGGCAGCAGGGAATCGAACCCAGAACCCACTGTATATCATCCGCACAATCTCAGGACTCTCATTGTTAACAATCGTCTCCTCCTCCCTGTCACAAAGTACAGGCACCGAATAGCGCCCTTTGTACTCCGAATCCGCCTTCAGATACAGCTCGCTGAAGCGCTTGAAGCTGTAGATGGGGTCCTGAGCCGCGGTGCCGGCGGGGCCGCTGAACGACCAGCCGGTAGGGTGGAGCTTGTAGTCCATGCCTACGAGCTGGACTATGTGTTCGAGCCCCTTAAGCGAGCGGACTATGTTGGCACGGTGCGCGAAGGGTGTCAAGAAGGATGGAAGTGAACAACGGTGATGTGGAAGGATAATTATTCTATCTCTAAAATCTTCTAGGGGATATCTTTGACCCCATAGAAATAGAGTGATATAGCCGACATGCGCACAGGTCATAGCGGAGAGTAACTAAGAATATGGCTGGGAACATGACTAGGAACTCTGAATATGGCTAAGAACTCCACATTTCGACACTCCCCTGTGAGCAGCTTATAACAACCTAAAATAGCCTGAAACTCCCCTCTAAACAGCCTATAAATAGTCCAATAAAACTCCCCTAACTTCTCGCTAGCCTCATTAAATCTTAAAAAACCTCGTAGGAAAAAGGGAAAGAGTACCAGCTCTCTAACCACCAATAAGCGAATTACCAATAAGTCTCCCTAATCATAATTAATAACCACCTAAAAACGAAGGCGGGGGAGACGATAATAACGAGTCTGAAGATACTTCAGAAGAAATAGATAAGAGCGAAGGCGATAACTTCGCATAGAGATTAAATAGCTCGATATCACTTAAAGGATTAAGTATATCCTCGCTAGCCTCGAAATCGCTATCGCGTAACGATGGAGTAATCGAAGTGAGATAGAGGCTCTACCACTCTTCGTTAGAATCCTCGAGAGTCTTATTAATACCGATCAGATATTGCCTTTAAGATTCGAATTCTCGTATAAGAAATAAGAAGTACTTATATAAGGATCTTCGAATAATACTAGCAAGAGTATTCTGATGAAAGGTACTAAATGGTAAGGACGATTTAGTAACGAAGGCTGGTTTCTGGTAGAACTATACGGAGTGCAGTTATAGGCGTGCGGACCTCCTTAGAGAGAGATTAATACCCTTCTTATATTACTCATTTAGGGACTTAAAACTAGGACGCTTATCTTGATAATTATTACCGTAAGATTGAGTTTAAGACTCCATAGGTAATAGAATACTCGATTTTTTATAGTGGGATTGAATTGCGACAGCCCTCTCGTCGGTGGTTACGAGCCAAAAAAATGGGCTATTATAATATTGATAAAGGTGTCTATAGGTATAAGATCACCGTATATTAGTATTAATTAATATTCTATTAGGAAGTATAAAGGGTAGATATTTGATACTACCTTGCCCGCTTTCGGGCTTATAATCTATCAAGAAGAATGAAAGTAAATAATAGTGATGTGGAAGGATAATTATTCTATCTCTAAAATCTTCTAGGGGATGTCTTTGACCCCATAGAAATAGAGTGATATAGCCGACATGCGCACAGGTCATAGCGGAGAGTGGCTGGGAACATGGCTGGGAACATGGCTGGGAACTCTGAACATGGCTGGGAACTCCACATTTCGACAAAGGGGCATACGAGGGTTATGTAGAGGATCTGGGACGTTTAGACGGGCTACCATTACCGCTTCCTCCAACCGTGGAAACCGGCCTGTGAGGGAAGCACATATATAGCGGTCTTTTTCCGGTGGGAATCTGGCGCCAGGTTCTGAAGATATAAAATTGCGGAACTTGGAGTCGATGCGGTCGAAGGTTCCTCGTCGCTCGGCCAGCTTGAAGTGATCGGATCTTATGTCGGCGTTGGCAGTCATGATGATCGATTACCTGGGCGACTGAGAGATTTGAGAATGTCAGATGTGATGGCTGCCCCCTTGCATTCAGTATTACAGGCTGTGTTTGTTCAAAGCTTGACCACTGTCATCGCGGGACTTTGGAGGCGGCCCGGAGGTCGAGATACAGGCTGATAAGCCCAAAGGAATGGCAGCGTTTGTACCAGGGGCCTCCTAGTTCTCTGCTAACGCTGGTAATCAAGAGCCGAGTTTTGGTCCTGAGGGTTCTGTACTTCGAGTTGGCTCAAACCCCGCGTATCACGTGACTAGGCAACGTTCGCCGCAGTGAGATACCATGTGGTCCATGCAAAGGTGGCAAGTACCAGCTTCGAGAGCCTTCCTCGGCTTCAGAGCCATATTTTGTCTACAAGAAGAATCCTATGACAGCTCAACATTACACCTGCCTGGCGCACGACGCAAGAGGATAGCTTCAGTTTCACCAAACGTCGCACATTTATTAATCTCTATGTAATGAGATATGCGAAAACTAAACAGAGATCCCCTTTTCCGCTCGTCGCTCTGCTAAAGCTCGTAGAATGCGAGGGAAATGCAGCAAGCGCTTCGTAAATGTGCACAATAAAACCCAAGACTTTTATCGTACAGATGCCATGCAGATACCCTCGGAACGCCAGATCGCGATGCAATGAACGAAAAACACAAAGATTAATACCAGATATGCGTTGTCCTCTTCTCTCACTCAACCCAGGTTCACACCCAACCCCACTGCCTCATCCATATTCGGCGCACTCAACCCCCTTGGCCTACCTTCTCTCACGATCCCTTCTTCAGTCGGAATCAGATTGTTCTCCGGATATGGTGCACTCTCCCTCCTCCCCTCTCCCTCTTGCATAACCCTTCCTTTCTGCCTTTCCCACTCTTCAACCCTCCTCCGCCTCCAACTCTCCTCATCCACCTCCTTCAACGCCTCCATCTCCCTGTGCCTGTCCTGCAACCTCACGGCATGCTGCTTGGTCCTCCGTCTCGCTTCTTCAAGACTGATAGGCTGGTGTTCACCAAATTGCACGCTGCCTGCGTTGTCGAAACGTATAATTCTACTAGGTGCGTCTGAGACTGCTACGCCAGGCCCGGACGACGAGCGGGACATGGACATGTCGTAGGGATCCGGGGCTGAGTGGGACGGCGATGGGTAGGCCCAGCCGCCAGTGTGGGAAAGGTCGTGGGGCTGGATGCGTGGGGACGAGTGAGCTGAGTATATGGGTCGGGCGAAGTCGGTTTTGGGAGACTTGCGAAAGGGGCGGCCGTCTGAATGTCTTTCCCGCAGGGCGTCGGAGGGTAGAATCCGTGGTGAAATGTTTGAGGGATAGCGAACTGGGTCTGTTTCTGCTGTAGAGTCGCGAGATTGGTCGGAGTGATGGCGTGACATGGGTTGCGAGTAGTAGCCTTTTGGTATTGCAGGCATAATTGGTGGCGGATAAGGCGCGTTGTACACTTGTTGATAAGGTTGATGAGGACTGGTTCGACTTTGCGGTTGCGATGAGTAGTGAGATTCTGGTGGCGGGAAGAAGGGCGACGGTGGCTGCTCGTAGAGGTAAGGAGGGAGGGGACGCTTGGTTGTGATGGTGATACTTTCTTCGACTGGAAGAGGTGCTAAATTGGGCCCCAGTGGCGGGGGGTTATAATATGGCAAGTTCCTGTCGATAGGCCGCCCTTGTGCTATTTGCGCAAGACTGGAACTGGACCCTGGATAAGGATTAGTATACTGGAAACCGGCCGGTGGGCGCTCATTCGTATAGGCAGGATACGCTGGACCCGTGCGAACGTTCTCCTCTCCTGTATCGGCTGCTGACCCCCGACGCGGTACGAATTCCGACCCCAAAGGCGAAGGGGACGACCGAGCATTATCTCGCCTGCTTCTCAAGCTTTCACGAGATCTACCGCGCTCCATGATCATAGGTGCCGCAGGTCGACCAGCAGTAGCGGAACTTGGTCCATTGCTTCGTTGTTGCGGTTGCTGACCTGCTCTTCCCGCTGCAATGCCGGCCCACGTTGTTTGCGTGACAGGCGGAGCTGTAGTACGACCTAGTGGTCCACGTTGGAAAAGTGATGCTATACCGTTTCGCGAAGGTGGAGGACTACGGGATTGCACTTTCTTTAGCGACTTAAAGGCTGGAGAAGTCTCCCTAACCTGCCTATCATCTGGGTCTGACTGAACGACAGATCCAGCCACACTCCTCCTGTCTATTTGTGGTCTTGCCGTAGTAGGCCGAAAGCTTCCTAGATCACGACGGCCACGGGGTTTTCTTGGCTTCCAGGCTGACGGCACGACTTGCCAATCTTCATTGTAGGTCTTAGCTGTAGGTGGTGCGAGAGACGGGGGTGAGGGCCGTGCGGTATGACCAGAAAGATCCTGCTGCATAGGACGCGATGTACGTTGACCTTCTTGCTCACTCTCATAACCGATGTCGTCCAAATCTGGCAGTCGCGGGCTGTAGCCGACTATTTTGGGAAGTGTTCCGACTGAAGCAGCATCAAAGCTTCCAGGCGAGTCTGCTGTCTTGCCCTTTGGGAATCCAAACAGAGTCTCATTGTCGAGTGGCGGGGGAGTAGGTCGATGGTCAGGCGTGAGAGGACCTGGGCCAGAATCCGAGCTGCTACTTGTCCTGTCGAAGATGGAGATCTGGAAGATGCCATTTTTCAAGCTTTCCTGGGACGAGCTAGGCTCGTGTTGCAGGATCTCTTCATTGATTATGCTCAATGTTGGCTGTAGGATCTGCCTTATACTCCCAAGATCTTGGGTCTTGCTCTCGTAATGCACAGAGTGATCCCAGAGCCTCTGACCGTGTACCTTGTAGTATCGATAATCAGAAACCCGGGCAGTATCTGGCCTATGTTTGATCTTGACATCTGCCTGGTGGTAAGAGAAAGAGAACAGCCCCACAGCGTATCCCAGCCATTGTGGGAGCAAACCTCTGGTGTTCAGCGAGTCGCAACAGAAGTTCTGGACGACGCTGTGGATTTTGAGCATGTCGATTGGCTCTGGGTCGACCAGGCTGTTCCGGCTCGATGACATGGAGTCCACGTCGTCAGGCTCGTTTCTTTCGATAAGTGCGTACCGCCTCAACTCTCCAAACGTAGTGTTTATATCTGGTCTCCCTCCAATCTCGGTTGCCCTGACCTCGACATTGGTGCGAAGGATCCTTAATCCAAGGTGCACCATCTCTACCGGAATCTCGTGCCCAAACCAGCATAGTATATGTATTAGGTTCCATGCTTCCATATGACCCAGACGCTGGAGATCGTCCAGAATCTTGTTGTAGGTCTCTTCGATAGTCGGATCAGCGCTGTATGATAGCTTGTACTTTGTAAGAGGCTCATGGGTGTCAGCCAGGCGCTGACTGATGGCATTGATGGCCAAAGGCAGACCGCCGATGTTCCGAACCAGCTCATTTGCCTTCCTCTTCTCAGCCTCTGTTGGCCTTTTGATGTGCAGTTCCTTGAAAAGCAACTTCTTAGCGTCATCCTCCTTCAGAGGTCCAACTTTGATAGGAAATGGCCGTAGTAGTCGTTGCTTAGACTCGAGACTCCTAGCTCTCGAGATATAGATAATGCTCGAGTTTCGACTGTCCGGTACGAAATTCGCGAAATCGGTGGTGTCTTCATCTCTTTCAACCGTGACGCCATCAAAGACCACAAGCCACTCCTGTCGTCCTTCAAACCAGGCTTTGACCAGTGGAACAAAGTCCTTGCCATTGATGCCGTCACACAGTTCTGGCTTGTCTCGACAGACGACTTTTTGCTTGAGGTTCCAAAAGGCGTGGTATCTTTCCTCCTTCGACTTGGCTGTGATCCAGAACACTCCTCCACCAAACTTTTTTCGGTTTTTGTTGACGTATTGTCGAGCTAGATGGGACTTGCCGCTGCCAGGCTGTCCATGTAGAAGTACGCATGCCGTTCCATCGCGCCGTCTCTTATCGAAGAGCCGTCGATCTAGTTCTTGATATTCCTTCTCCATACCCACGAAAAATGTATTTGGGCGAAAGCCGGGGGGTACAATAAAGTAGGGCTCTGTTGGCTTGACAGGTGAGACTGGAGTGTTGGTAGCATTGTTTTTTGACTCAATCTGTGGAGGGTTGCGGGCATCTTTTGGTGGAAGTATTTGTGAGGTATCTACAAAAACGCCAAATCAGCCCCCTGAATAATGGTTTACGGCAACGAAGCGCCACATGCAAAGCAGAGTGCAGTCTGATTCAACACACAAGCTGCCAACCGATGACCCTGGCAGCAATGCAAGTCAAGCCAATTCCATGTCTTTATCTGCGGGTTCCTCAACCTCGTAATTCTCAAAGTCTTGCATAGGGGATTGGTTCTCGGTGCCAGGTAATGCCAATTGTTTCTTACCAGGCGTAGATGAGTTGGTGCTGGATGAGTCTGTTTGAGGCGTTGCTTTCAAACTACCTATATAGATTAGCTAGCCGTAAGTGTGCTGGAATCCATAAACAACAAATACCTGGAATCAATTCCTCAACTGCAGCTTGCTTCTGCGCAAGCCGTGCCTTCTTTTCTTCATCCCAACGTCCACTGACAACTGCTGGTGCCTCACCTGCATATCGTTGTATCCCTTCGGCCACCAGATCGAAGCCTGGAGCAGCATCGCTTTCGAACTTGCACATGTGGGAGTGATCCGCCTGGATACTAGCACGTTCGACATCCTGAACAGTTGGAGATGCCGATTCCTCATCGACAATGTATTTCAAGGTTCCTTTCAGATTGGTAGGCTTCCCCTCGTGGAAGAAATAGACGTGGAATCTATTCATAAGCTGTATGAATTGACGGTCGATATTTTGTAAAGTTTCGTTCTTCTTCTTCAAGGCATCCACCAGTTGAGGCTGGGTGTCGACAAGCCTGCTTGGTAGAGCGACGCTACAGATCCACTCCAGGCGAGAGCCCCATTCCGCAACGTCCGAGCCTTTGTGAGGGGTACCAAGGAACAGTATTCCGAACGTGGATACGTATATCGACCGTAGATGTTCAGTATAGATCCCACGGATCTCGGACGAGTAAATCAGGGCACGCTTGACCACAAGTCCGCCAAGAGAATGGGCGACAAAGATGATGGGACGTTCTGAAGCTTTTCGGATCCGCCTGTTGGCTACCAGCTCCGCAACAAGATGCTCGGCGTGGTTGTGTATTTTGTCTGTGGATACCCCGTCTGTGAACGATGTGACGTCCGCATCGTATCCATACACCAATATCCGTGCTCTCTCATCAGTGAGTATAGGTGGTAGCAGCTGTGCAGGCCAGAAGGTCTTTGACCTTTCGCTCGTCCATGTATTATGTGGATTACCATTTAGACCGTGGACGAAGACGACGTCGACAAGTCCCCCACCAATGGGGGCATAGATTTGTGAGAGGCCGAAACGACTGACCTCCGGAGCGCCAGAGGCTGCCTAGAGTAAGTCAGTACCAGCGGAGAAGGTCCGATACTTAGCCAGACGGAAAGCGGGAACTTACCATCATCGCCGTGCAAACGGTAATGCTGAGGAACTAGAACGCAATCTGTTTTCGCGATGCATATATGGACGGGTGGAAGGAGAGATTAGAAGAGAATAGAATAAATCAGAGCATTTGAACACTGAAGGGGCAAAGCGCACGGGTGTGGCTGCCTGGCTCGTACTGTAGGCTTCTGTCGTTGCCCTCGTGCCTGGAGAGGATGACGCACAGGTGGCCTCGGTGTAAGAGTCATTGACAGGACTTGAATGAAAGCGGCCGAAATCTGGAGTGTGGGGATGGGTCCCGAGACTATTTTGCAGAGCCTCGTGCGCCTGGAACTACAGGCTATCAGACTCAGCTGATGCGCTGCCCGCCCCCTAGGGTTGAAGGCGAAGTCGAATCCCCTTAAAAATTTAGAGCCAGACTTAGGGTACTAAGCCGCCCGGGGGGTTAGCTTCCTCATGTTGGGGCCCGGGTGGGGAATATCACATCTTGACAACCAACAGCTCACCTTCTCATTTGTCTCTATTGAAGCATGGCTGCGACAGTACCTAGTTGCGAAAGGGCGTGAGCTCTTGCATACACAGCGGAGGTGAAGACTGAGTATGCACGAAATTGGGTGTCATGTTCTACAGACATGTGACTCACCTGGGGTAAGCCCGAGTAATGTCTTACGAAGCAGGAACAAAGAAATGTGGTCTTTGGCTTGACTTCTCGTCATGAACCGTAATCACAGCGTATTACGCCTGCATTTTTGAAGAGTATTTCCATTGGTTCATATGGACTGACGGATAAGATGTCGCCGGGTTCTGTCGATCATAATTCAGATGCATGCCTAAGTATCATCTCCTTCAACGATACCCAATCTCCACGTGCATTCCATTTCATGACATTCACACTTTCATGGCTTTTTTTTGCCGCCTTTCCCGCTGGCCCCACCAGAGCCCATAGCAGCCTCCCTCTTCTTGCTCTCTTTCGCATCTTGTTCCTTCTGTCGCTCCTGTTCTAGGCTTTCCTTCTCCTCTTTTTCTGCCTTTTTTCTTGCGGCCTCTTGCTCTCGCTTGTCTTTGATCAGACTCAACCTCGCCAGATCTGCTCTGGCCTCGTCGGTCTTGCCTTCGGCATGCAACTTCTGGTATCGCTCTTTTGCTTGCTGTGCTTGGAGAGCTTCACGCTCGCGACGGGAGAGCTGACTGACGGGTGTAGACTTTGATGATTTGGAGGGGCCATCTGTAGGTTGGATGGGAGCAGCGGAGGCTTGGGAGCGGGATTTGGCGGTATGGTTTGGGTTCGCGGGGGCAAGGTCATCGTCGTCTTCTTCCTCAGACGAAGATGATGGTAGGTCACCTGGAGCGGCGGCTTTTGAGGACTTTTTCTTGATAGCTGCTTCTTTCTTTGCTTTGGCGGCAGCACGACGCTGTTCACGTGTCATAGGAGGTTTGTCCGGGTCTTCTTCTGATGATGATGATTCCTCCTCTGATGAGTCTTCTTCTGAAGACGACGACTGAGCTTTGGCATCACGCTGGTCCTAAGCATCGGGTCAGATTGCGTTACTAGTACAGGGGACAAAGGCCCGCCTACTCCCCACATGCTGGTTGGATTGCCATCTGCATCTAAAGGAGTGAGGTTCTTGCTAAACTTCTTGCCTCCTATCTAAGGGTCAATGAAAATTGTCAAAGACAATCGCAGGACTTGTGACATGCCTCCTCTAGTAGGCTTGCTGAACTTGCCAGCTCGTCCTCTGCTCCCTGGAGGCATATTGGCGGTGACTTTTGTGATATGTCGAGAGTAGAAAAGAGAAAGAGATAGGGTTTTTGGGGTGGTTCAACAGGAGAGTGAGCTGAAGCTATAGTGTAGAATCTTTGGTAGTTAGAAGCATGCACAAGACTTCAAGCATTTATGTTTGTGGAGGGGCAGTCACTGGTTGTTTGCAGAGTGCTTAGTCAGCCAATCTCACAGCCCTACCCACTAGCGGGCCTTCCTGTCTTGAAGAAAGATTACACTTCAGTGCTCTCAACAACTGTCTCGCCAGCTATTCAATTCAACCAGCCGAACGCTTCACTGTTTCCGTTGTATATGTGTAAGCAGGTTTACCTTTGAGCTTTTCACGCGTGTCCTGGCTTTGGTGAGCGGTGCTGCGCGACTTCCTCGTCCATCAACCCTCGCGTCGATCGTCCGCCGGCTAGGCCTCGAGGGAACATCAAAAGTTCAACAGACCGTCGGCCTTTGGCTGAATACGCCTCATATAAGGCCCCTAATCAATCGCAAAACTTGAAAACTCCGCCGACCTCACTGCTCTTGTCCTATGACACCAATGCGAAGATTCTAGGATCAGTGGGTTTTGCCTAAAGACTCACACGGTTCAGGACATCGGCTCTGAACCATTCACATGCAATTCAATACCTAGGATTGTGACAGTTGAGATATTATTTTGCTCTCTGGAGTTGATGATATAATTAAGAATGGCGGGAAAACGAAAGCGGGCGGATACCTTAGCAGTTGGAGAGGTGGAAGGAGGACAAGTGAATGGCGGCAGGCAAGTGAATCAACAAGAGAAGTTCCAGGAATGGCTAGCCGATATAATGGAAATATTGAGAGAGTGAGCTACCCTTGACAGCCGCTACCACCCTCAGCCACCAGAATGATGCTGACTCAATCTATTTACAGCCAAGACACCACTCCTTCTACCTTCGACCGCCCCATTTCCACTTCTACACAAGAATCACATGATGCAAAGCGTACTAAGCTTTCCGAGTCCTCTGAAAAAACTACCGTCGCCACTCTCTTAAAGAGCAACGCTTACACTTCAATCGAGGAGTTTATCAAAGACGTAGACTACGCAGTCTCCGGTATCACGGAGGAGTTTCAGGAGAAGATCAGTGTCGGAATGAGTTCGTCATCTTATCAAACAATACATGCCCAGATATCACGCGCCAGAGCAATTAAAAATGAGCTTGACCAGCTAGTGTTGAGGGAACTTGTCTGCAGGCCTGAAGTAATCAGATTGTCAAACGATGTCAAAAGTGAACTCTCGGATGAGCAAGACGCCAAGTCCAACTTTGATGGTCCAGCAAACAATGTTCTGACCCTTTTGGGCAATATGGGAAGTGGGCGAACAGGGCAGCTGTTTACCAGCTTACGGAAGACGAATACCTCGGATGGACCACTCAACGAGGCTGCACTGCCGAATGGCATTACTGCGACTAAGATAGTCCCGGTACACAGCATCAACAATACTGAGGACAAGAAACCTACACCCACACTGGGGGAACGTTTTCCACCTCCACCTGGGTTACTCCCTCTACCGCTACCAAAGCAGTCAAGACACACAGCAACAAGAAGCTCGTCCGTCAATTGGTATAATCCCACCGAGGCTGAGTCCAAAAGCAAGTCTGGCAGGCGAGATGGCTATACAACACAACCATTGTCGACTGGCCAGTGGCTGACATACAATGCGGCTCCTTCCTCCACTCAGATAGTGTCTCCAGAATCAAAGCGCAAACAGCGAGATCGAGCTTTGAGTTTTGGTGAGCCTCAGACTTCGATATCAGAAGAGGCAATGGTGGCGCACAATCAGGCCAAGGAGGATGCTTTGTTTCGCAGTGTGTACTCCAGCTTTGCACCTGACCGCGATGACTCTGGAGCGATCGTCGCTGAGCAACAGAAGAATCGCTTCTGGTGGCGCAAATATGGGGAGCAGAGGTACCATGAGTTACTGGGAATGAGGGATGCTGGATTGTATGAGGCAGAGGCCAACGGCGTTGGAGATGAAGATGGTATAGATGAAGTGGAGATTCAAGAAGCCATCAAAACTTGGGAGTCAGAGGAAATCCCGCCAGAAATGAACCCGTCCAAGATTGTTAGTCTCGAAACACCCGAGACCAGCAAAGAAGCCGATACTATTCTCTCAGAAATATCGGATCTGCTTGAGACTCTCGATTCTCATCAGCGCATAAGGAATCTTACACTCGCAGTTAACGCACGCGCCATGAGTGGACAGAACCCTCAGTCGACCGCCCTCACTGGAACTCCCACCAGCCCGTCGTCCGCAGAAGTTGACGTCTACGAGGTGCTGAAGGCTCAGCTAACCCTGATTGTATCTACATTACCACCTTATCTGGTCGCCAAGCTGGATGGCGACAAGTTAGGTGCTCTCAACATCAGCACTAAACTAAAGGTCGAGAGCAAGAACCAAAAGGGTACAATGGAGTCAGACGATTCTGCTACAGGCGCAAGAGCAGCAGTCCGGCCTGCAGCAACTCCAAGTAATCCACAGGCTGCCAGCGCGTACGCAAATGCCCCCACACGCAGCAGTAGCTATATTCCACCGACGGCTACCCCTGTTCAGCGCTATCAGCAGCAGCCTGGGTACGGAGCTCAGACTGCACCCAGACAATCATCAAACTCGGGCTACCTTCAAAATCCGCAATACTCAAATCGACCAGCTTCATACAACTACTCCGCTGGAACACGACCCGCCTATCCTCCTCAGAGCCAACAGCCTCCACAGCGTGCGGTGTCTTCCTCCAACTACGCCGCGCAGTACGGCCAGCAGTCGTCGCAGTCTTTCGGTTCCTATCAGCATGGATACCGCGGCTACTCAGGGGTAGGCCAAAATGGGAGAAGTTACAATTACAATCAACAATACTCGACTCCCCAGGCCCGTCCTCCGAACTCCGTCCAACCACCACAGGCTTATCGAGGGAGTCAAACTGACTATCAGCAACGAGCGGTGCCTCCGCAGGGTTACGGCTACGGCTCTGTTCCAGCGGCCGGGAGTGCATCTCCACATCAACAGCGCTCATCATTCTCTGCCCCAGGCCAGGCAGCTCCGCCACAGCGCCCTACAACGCTTTATCACACGCATTCTTCACAGTACAACCCACAGACTCCAGCGTCGCCTCTCGTCAATGGCGCGAGGTCATCTGGCTCTCCGACTCAACAGGGACACTTGACTGCTGAGGAGCAGGCAGCTTTGATGGCCAGGCAGAAAGCTCAACTGGCAGAGAGGCAAGAATCGGGCACGC